TCTACAACTTTTGTTAAAAGCCGAAGAGTTTTATTTAGTATAAAAAAAAGTTTTATAGAGACACTATGCATTCGCACTTATAGTAAAATTTATATATAAAAAAAATTTTTTTGTCTAGATGATTGGTGAATCACCTATTAAATAAAAAATGGTTTAAAAAAATATGATAACTAAATACTACACTATAGTAGATTTTTAAATAAAGATAGCAACCTATATAAAACTTATTAGCTAATATTAGTGTGATAACCATATTTGAATCCTTTTGAATGTTTTATAGAATAGGTGAGCAATATAAAAAATAAGCTTTGTTAATGATTAGTATTCATTAATAGATACTTAGCAGAGTTGCAGAGTTTGCCCACCTATTCTATAGAATATCTGCTTATTCTGTATATTAAATACAGTACAATTCTTTTAATAAATTAGTGCAAGATTATTAAAGAAATATATATACATATATAATTTATTTACAATTTAAATTTACTTAAGAATATTTTATAAAATAGATAGGTAAGAAATAAGCTCTGCTAATAATTATTAATCATTAATTTTTATTATATTTTAGCGAAGTTTGTGAAGTTTGCCTGCCTACCTATTCTATAAGATATCCTTTTTATAATCTATAAAAAAGATAAAAAAGAATACTTATTATATAATATAAAATTATTTTATAGCAATTTTTTAGTAAATAATATTTAGTGTTTCCAATGAGCTGGCTCAAATAAGCTTATCCTACACACATTGGCTTATTTAGACTTATTTGATTTATAAGCCGTATAACATGATATATTCAAGAATATCGTATAAATTATACAAATTATATAGTATAAAGACTAAATAAGCCTTAATGAGCCAATGGGAATATTGAGTAAGCCTATTTGAGCCGGCTCATTGGAGAATACTAATAATATTATGAGGCTCAAAAAAGTGATTTTAATCGAGTAATTTTATTATTAGATTATCTTAAAAAATTAGGCAATTGTGATATTTGTAATTTCTGCTAATAATAGATATGGGTACTCTAGAGCACTTTCAGGCAAAAAATTTGGTCCTTTCGCTGAGTAGTTGTCCATTGTCCATTGTCTGATCATTGTTATAAAGTGTCTCATGGATAACTCGTGTTATTTCATGGTCTGTTTCATGAATTGTCATGCTTAAAAGACAATTATCATGTAAGTTTTGACTGTAAGGCCTATCTCAAAATTATGATCTTAGATCATCTTTTTTTGTTATTCTGATTCCCGGTATACAATTGCCTCTGCGCATAATTACAATTATCTTCTGTGCAGACCATGAGCTATCCACGAGACACTCTACTAGCAATGGACAACTAGACAGGGGAAGGTCCGAATTTTCTGCTTGAAAGCACCCCTAGAAACAAGAGCCAACAACATGCGTCAAGACCTTTCAAATGTTTTCCAAAAAGTTGAGCGCACAGATGAAAACATCTTGTAAACTCCAAACAAAAAGAAATTATAAATATGTTACGATATGAATATACCAATCTAGAAACTGCAAAAAGATTTTGGCAAAAATTTTGCCAGACGGAAGAGAAAGATGGAAGTAAACATTCAAGAGTTAAAAATGTAACGAAAGACAGAAGCTACATATATTTAATTTATACAATTTATATCCACGTGCTTTTTTTACTTTTAAATAAAGTTTTAAATGGTACTACAGTATATATATTTTTTTAATATCTACTATGAATCGAGATATTATATATGTATTCATTTAAAATAGTATCAGAGTGCCTCGGCTATTTCTAGCATCTAAAAATAACACGAGTGATGTTACGACAACCACATTACCAGTGCATAAATCTGCTCTGAGAATGTTTTTGCTTATTTTCTTCGTAAATAAATGTGATTTTATATATTTAGATGAGCAGATTTATGCACACAACCAAATTCAACCGGAATTGCATGTTTATACAATAAAATCGAATTTAGTTGTGATATCGCTAGTGTTATTTTAGACGCTAGGAATAGCTGGACACTGGGCGGTATATTTATAAATATACATTTATCAATATACTCAAACGCATTTTTTCCCAAAAACGTGCACTTATGGAAAGTTGATCGTACAGATGTAGATCGATGTAGATCTCTGCAAGATTTGTATTTGATTGGCGAGAACATCAATTTCGTGCAACATTAAAATCTATAAAATGAAATTTATGCCGATACCTTTTTATAATTTTAATTGTTATCGAATTTTAGCGTTAGTATTGATCACATATATTATAATGAAATGATTCAACTTAAGACGATATTAAACGTTATAGACAATTCTGGTGCTATTCTTGCAGAATGTATTCGTGTGGCACATGGTGGACGGTATGGTCGTATAGGTATATATTATGTATGACACTTTTTTTTTTATCTCATTAAATCTTATATATTCTATCACTTTTCACAATATTCTAACCGGTTTTTATTATATAATTTATTTATGATTTATTATTGTTTTTTTATACAAGGCGATGTAATTACGGTTGTAATTAAAAAGGCTCGTCCAATCTCATCAATCACAGAAAAATCTTCAAGCGGATCAGCAGCGAATCCAGCCACAAAGCTTTTAATTCGTAAGGGTGAAGTTAAAAAAGCACTCGTTGTACGCACTCGTAAAGAAACAAGAAGACCTGATGGAAGGTACATTAAATTTGATGATAATGCTTGTATACTTTTGAATAATCGTCTAGAACCTTTGGCTACTAGAGTACTTGGTGTTGTAGGAAATGAGTTGAGGGGTAAGAAGTGGGGGAAAGTTGTTAGTCTAGCCCCTAGGATTGTTTGATTCTTTTCATTGTTTGCTAAAATGCGATAGAAGAATTAGGGATTGAATAGGCTTGCTCATTGATGCATATTTTAGTAGAAACCACAACGATATTAAAAAGTAAATATATATATATATATATTTATACAATAAAGCTTAGATGTAGCTATGTAGTTTAGATGAGTCTACTTAAGCTTGTGTAGCACGCAAACTCTTACTCATTGTTAATTATTATGCATATCAATTTTGATTCTGAACACGTGGTGATCTGATCTGATCAGCATATATATCTATATATAAGCAAGGCTTTTTTTGATCATACTTAACCCTCTAAGCATTATAAAGCGCAAAACGAATGATGGGACACATTAAAACGTCTCTCAAAAGTAACAGATATAATAACCATGATAGCAAGTGAGTAAAAATGTTTATAGAAATGTCGACTGATTAGCGTATAACCTTTGATTCTGTTGAATTTTTTATTGGTCTTTGCCAATGAAATTATTTGTTAGTTCATTGGAAATGGAAATAGTAAAGGCTTCCGCAATAGATAACATTATCGATATAAGAATTCATAATGGAGCAGAATACGCGATGATTTCATATAAAGGTATTCATTTATTCTAATTTTTTATAAATGATTATGCCTACCATCTCTATAATTTTCGACCATGAAATTTTGATTATTGTAACAAATATTGTAATAGATGCAACTAAGCTACCTGAATGGCGTCCGATTAGATGTTTGCGCAACGCTGAAAGCTTAATAAATGAATATAAAATCGAGGCGAGTAAAGCTGAGCAACGTCAAGCGGAAAGGAAAGCGCGCGAGGTAATATATAAAATTTAATTATAATGATCAAGCCGTTATTCACTGATTTTTCACACATATAGGGAGAATTACAACAGATAGGTGAACAGATTAAACCTCAACAAGATCACGTTAAAGAAATCAAGGACATTAATGCTATTTACAAAAATGAAGAGCACAACAATTCTCAGAAATCGACTGAATTTGTAAAGAAACAGAAAACTGCAAATATTCATCCTGTCATAGGCACCATATATAAATCTGATGGCGAAATGACAGACGTTGAATATGTGTTTGAACAAAGAGATCAAAGAGATAAACTTTTAATAGGAATTGGAGAGTGCTTGTCCGGAAAATCTGTGTCAAACGTAAAAATTAAATATGCGCTGAAAAATGAATGTGTCTCTAAAAACAGTCTCGGAAATTCAGTATTGGTTAAGCATGTTGGTAAAAGAAAGGCAAAGAGTCGTAGCAGAAGAATGCTTAGACCAGTTGTGATTTTGAATGATGATATGGGATCTTCAGTCACTGATTTATCATCCGATGAAGATTCTACCATTGATTTTAGTCTTTCAGGTAGGTTATTAAGTGTTGCAATACCGCATTAGGGCAAATTTTAATTTGTATATATATTTGCTTTATTTTAATTAGATACACCGCCTATTCATAGAAAATATAAAGAAAGCTCAAAAAAGTTAAAGTCAATGGAACATTCTGAGAAAAAATCCGTCGAGACAACGCAAAAAGAGCCGGGTGTCAAAACAATCAAATCTCCGCCACTTATTCAGCAGCCATTCCCGGTTGCGCCATCATTTATACCAGACATTTCAACAGCACAAACATGGTATTATTTGTAATTTATACTCTTATATTTGTGTATATATTTATCGTGGATTATCGTGGGTTAACATTTGTTTAAACTCTTAAAGTCAAGGTAAGACAAAGATTACTGATAACGACCGGCATATAGCTAAAAACCAAAAGCTTTACGAATCTATAACGCCGCATACATCGCGTGCATCAACTGTAAATTCCACAAACGAAATTCAAATTTACAGTGATTGTGAACTTCATTTAAAGCCAACAATTTTGGATGTAGAAAAATCTGGTCGTATAAAAGTCGAAGAAAACGTTGAGGATTTCACACAGTTTTTGTAAGTATTATAATTATAGCTTATATTTATTTTTCATTACACTTAACTGGATCATTGTCTTTTTAGGAAAAATACTGCGACACTGTGGAATGGTTCATTGACAAAGGGTGAATTGGTTCAATTCATCGGAGCTGTGATCATAAAGCCATTATATAGTCGATATCAAAATTCATCTATCTTGTAATTGTTTTTTTTTTTTCTTTTTTTTTTTTTAAAAAAAAAAGTTATGTATATGTGTGTATATGTTGTGGCTGATGCTGAAATCTGTGATGAGGAATTTTTGGGACCTTGAATATATAAAATATATTTATATTATATATTTTATTAACAACTTTAGCCTGATCTTGGTCCTAAAAGAAAAGATAAATAAATAAAACACCAAGATTTTACTGGACGTACTGGACGCACTGGACGCATAAATATCAACTTAAAATAAGCCTAATTTCAGCATCAGCCACGATATAAAAGAATATATATATATTATATAATATATAATATTGTATTATTATTTCAACTACGCCTTTTCATTAATTACACAGGTCTACTATTGTAAATAAATCTAATTTATATATGAAAGATCAGTTACCACAACCTTTTGCTGAAAAAATAGTCGATCCTAGTAATTTTACAAAGCATTCAATATACACAATGAATGATTTAGAATGTGCGAGTGATGTTTCACGTAAAAAAATAGAGATGGAGTCAAATATCATGAAATGGAACGAAATTGCAAGTATCTTAATGTTTGAATATTTTCACAATGTATATGTTTATATGTTTATATTTATTTATTTATCATTTCATTTTTCAATTGAAGGTTGGTGTTATTTGGCTTGACAAACAAAAAAAAGCATGCTTTCTTGTGTTTCCAAATTCTCAAAGAACTTGTATTACGCTCAAGATATCTCCTCGTCCGAAGGAGAAATTTATCATAATTCCCAAGGCAATAAAGGTTGATGAACCTCTTTCAATTCATTCATATTATCGACCATTGTCTTGCCCAACTGTAAAAGATGAAATTGCATATCCGATCAAGATAGTCACTTGTGCGAACAAATACAGTGAATTAGCAGAAATGTGTAAGACTCGACCATATATTGGAATATATGGTAATGAAAAAATAATTGAAGTCCAAGAAATGATAACTGCTGTCAAAGCATTGGGAGGAATTCATGATAGGGGGTTTGAGAGTAATAATATTAATTATGTCTTAGTGAGTACTTATTCTTTTTACATTTAAGTTAAATCAGTTACATTTTACTAATATGTTTTATTGTAGGTTCATGTGGACAAAATTAATCAAATAAACTATATACCTCGTCTTATTGAATTAAAACATATGAAATGTAAATTCCTTCAATTTGGATGGGACTCAATGTCTCCCGATCCAAAGTTCAAAGAGATTTTTCCACAGGGTATTTAATATATTTTTCAAAATTTTAGATAATTGCTAATTTTATCGATTAATTATATCACCATTTTCAGGTGGGATAGTTACTATCACACCAAAAGTTCTATATTACCGCGAGATGAATTATCTTGATCGAATTTGGGCGGTTAAAAATTTGGTACGTATTATCCATTTTAGTGTTGAACAATTATTTAAGATTATGCAAGTAGAAGTAAATCTTTTATTGCATTTTGAAGCGATATAGAATAGATTTGTTCTATTGTATGGCTTCGTTTATTGGAAAGATTTTTTGTATTATTTACTAATTACTTGGTTACTTGTTTTAACAGCAAAAAGTTGCAAATAATTCTATTTGGAATATTCACATTCACCCGAACATGGTTAAATACTTGGAAAATATCGCTAGCCAGGAAAGATGCAAAAGGTAATTGTAATACTTGAACATTCATACATATTGTAATCATTCAATATTGATTATTGTTTGTTTTAGGGCTGTGGAGTCCAGCATTCATTTGAAAAGTTTGTATAATTTAGGGAGGTTTGATTATTTTGACGGTAATGAGTTTTCGATATCACAGGTAATGCATTATTTTTTCTTTCAAAAATAAATGCCATATTATTATTGTTAAACATTTATTTTTGTTTCACTTAATAGGACGATGTATCTGTCCATTCTCTATACAACGTGATGTTGCGTCTGCACAAGATTTACTCGGGGTATTTTCGTCATTTTGTTATTGTCCAAGATGAATCCGAAATGAATGAATCAAATATTCAAATACCTGGTGTATGTATATTTTATTTACTATGTATAATAATAATAATAATAATAATAATAATAATAATTATTATTATTATTATTATTATTATTATTATTATTATTATTATTATTATTATTATTATTATTATTATATTATTATTATTATTATTATTACATTATTATTGTTATTATTACATTATTATTATTATTATTATTATTATTTTGGTACATTATTAACATCAATATACCTTATTAACATATAGGTCGAAAGGATGACTTTTTCAGAATTTAGATCGATATTTGGATCGCAGTAATGAATAATATCTTGGTATTATCGTTGGGCTATGTATATAATGACGTGTATCATTAAAGAAATAATAGAATTCTGCTGCTTGTGGTCTATTAAGGACTTTTTATTTTATGAATAAAAATTCTATAGAACTTAGATTTTAAAATACAATTTTGCTATTAACAATTTTATAGTTGTAGTTGAGTGTAGTCAACCCAAAATTGCTTGCTGAGACACTTCAAAAATTTTTTTTTTTTTATTATTAAGGTTACTTAAGGCCACAGAGTTGACTGTTTTCATAACATATGAATTTTTAAAGTGACTCTCGGCCGGCTTTTAATTTTTAATTATAAAAAATTTGTTTTTTTTTTTATTTAGAAAAATATTAAAACGTATAAAATTTTTTTTATTCAAAAGCTCCCCCGAAAGTATTCATAATAAATAACTTATTACCGCAAAGTCGCGACATAACATCATGAGCATTATTTCATCCTTTAAAAACATCACAAGTATTTTTATTCCAGACGCGTCCCGAAATAACGCGTCGTAAGTAAATAAATAACGCGCTGAGGCGCGTTATTTCGCGACTATCGGAAAATTTTGGATTGAAACTTTACTGAACAGGTTATGAGAAACAATTAATTCATTTTATTTGGCCTAAGTTTCAACAATTATATTTATACGAGTTTTTTTACATGTAAGTTTCTGTAGTTTCATGTTAAAAATATTTAAAGATTTCGGATAGCACCCTTTAAACTGGATAATAATTGAGTCTTTTCAGTATCCAGAATCCACGACTATAATTATGATTACATCGGATAGTGTTTGATATTGTGTAGGTCGATTTGAAAGATTTTTTTTATTTTTAAATTCATGATAATTAAAATTATTTGATTATAAAGGAATGTATTAAAGTATTTAATTACAAAAATGCATATATATAATATATATAATATATTATATATATATGTTAACCTTTGGATGTGGATGTTATTAATTGTATGTTTATGAATTGGAGGAATGATATAATGAATGCTTAATGCAAGAAGAATATATCTAATACGAGAAAAATAAATCTAAGTACGAAAAAAATAATTCTAAATACAAAAATAAAAAAAAAGAAGGGAAAGATACACATTAAAAAAATTAAGATTGTATTATAAAAACAATATTTACACTTCTTAAATCTATACTTGGAAATTAATTGATCGAATCTTCAAGTATATCAATAATTGTAGATATCCATTTACGATTCCAAAATCTGGAAAACCTCACATTCTACAAGTTCAGAGGTTTCATATTCCAAGAAATATTTACTAAAATCACAACTTTTTTCTTTAAAATTAATGGTTAGATCATCATAACCAAAACAAAGACCGACACTAGAAAACTTTATGGCCATTCTTGACCAATCAGTCTGAACTCTAACCATTGAGAGTTTTTCTAATCCTTCACCATTTCCAAAAGAAAATATGAATGTTTGTGAAAGCGATGATATATCAACGTTGTAAGAGTAATTAAATCCTACAGGATTATATCCACCCACAATAATTGTTTTGGACGGACAACGTATTTTCGCTATGACTAAAGTTGGTACTTGTTTCAGACATCGATCATGATATGCAGATGGACCATCACGCGTCATTCGAAAAAGCAAATCAAGTGTGTAATGAATTTTCTTTGGAGAAGTTGAACTAATTTTGGAATTGTTTCGACGTTTGAAAAATGGAAATAAAAAACGATTAGAAGTTTTTTTAGGTTTAGGAGTTGACATAATTGCTTTTCCTTTATCTATCCAATCTGCTATAAAAGATGCATGAGTGTGGTTTATTAATATAGAATCATGTAATGAGGCTAAGAATGATTGTTGAAATTCTATGCTAGCAGAGATTAGATAATAACGAACTGTATCATTATCCATTTCTTTAAAATGTAACAAATAAGGTATTATATTGTCAATAAAGTAATTTCTAGAAATATGAGAGAATCTAATAAATTTAAGGAGAGGATAAATTGTTTCATTTAATATACCAAATTCAAGTTTTGACCAGTCATTCACGTTAGTGTTCATTAAACTTGAATGCTGTCCGATCCCCCAGTTAATTATACAACCCCAAATGTCCTCATCGTCTAAAAGATAATGTATTTCTTCAAGGATCCATATGAGTACAGGCTGTTGTAATAAAGACAAATTGTTTTGTCTAAGTAATAATGAAGGATAATGGTAAAGTGTCTTGATAATATGATGTAATAGCTTTTCAAATGAAGGATAATTATAACATGTTGTTATCAGAGGAATTAAATATGGTATTAGGAGATCGGTAGGAAGGCAGATGAAATGGGATTGAATTTGGTCAATGAGGTCTTGAAGAACAAGTTCATCAGACGCGACCATTATATCTAGTAAGGTTTTAATGTCCAATTTTTCTATTTTGATTTTTCCGATATATAAATATCTAATAATAATAATAATTATAATAATAATAATAAATAATAATAATAATAATAATAATAATAATAATAATAATAATAATAATAATAATAATAGTCTAGTAAGGAATATATATAACACATACAGTGTACATATTAAAATAATTACCTGAGAATAGAGGTGAAAACCTTTGGTGACATATTTGGTTTTTCGAAGAAAAAAATATTACCACATTTTTTTGCCCATGTACTTGATAAAGCAGTTCTGAAATATGAACTTCTTTTACTAAGAATAACAGAATGACTTCTGAATCTTTCTACGTTTGGTTCTTCACCGACGCAAATTATTACGTCAAAATTACCGGGACCATAATTGAATGGATCATTATTATCTATTCTAATTAATCTTTCAAATTCACGGTCATCATTATTTATGGAATCAGTAGGAGGACAGTATTTAGGAGGACGATTATTTAAAATAATTTTAAAATGTCTTCTGGAGTCTTTTAATTGTGTATCATCATAGTCAAAGTCTTTCCTTGACGAGTCTTGATCATTGTATTTATTCGCCCTTATAGCCTCCAAGCTTTCATCAAATAATCCTGTTATATCCAACATTTTATTGTTCTGCCTTTACAGATTACAATAAAAAAAAAAAAAAAAAGAGGAGAAAAAAAAAGACTCGGAGCGAGAAGGAATAAAAAATTAGAAAATTGTTGAAAATATTCGTTTTTTATATTCAACAGTGGATTCGTTCATTTCCGATGGTGATCTTATGTTCTGCTTGTATGTATGCAATAGGGATCTCTAGAGAAAAGCCAAAATGTACGGCAAAGAGTACAAAAATTTAAGGGCTAAAAAAAATTACTAATCGAATGAATGAGTGATAATAGTGATAGTAATGGTAATGGCCACACTACGACTAAAACAGTTATATTCGAAAAAACTTCCGAAAATCGAAAAAAGCTATATTTAGTAAATTTACTAACAGCCTATTGGTTTATTTAATAAGGGTATAGATGGTTAGTTTGGAAATTTTAAGTTTATCCCAGGTAGATTACATCATTAGCTATGTCAATCACAAACCTTATCAGTTATAATAAGTTATTCTTGGCAATAATTATACTATTTTTAGTTTACTATTTTTGAATTTCTGCGCATATATTAAACATTAATTTGTGACGTGTGGATTATGAAGAAACAAAAATCTTAATGCCACTTCATCTTATTCCATTATTGATTATATCACAATACGAAAATTAGCCAAATAAAGGAAAAAAAGAAATACGATTTATTTTACAATGAATTGCATACGTTTATTTTTTTTGTCGATTCAAAAGATTAGTCAATGGTGATTAAATGATTTCAACTTATTTCATTTTAATACAGAATAATTTTTAATGAAAAGTAAAAGAGTTCGTAATAATGATATGAATATTCCTAGGCGGCAAATCAGCGCCGTTTCGCCAATCATAACTGTAAGTTGAACAAAGTAATATGCATCCACGTGTAAATGCTAAATACTAAATCAAGATCTAAATGTTGTCAATCTATTTCTTTTTTTGGCTTTTTACAATGTTTCTCTTCATACTATATTTCTGTACGTATTCTCTGGGATAACCCAATTTATCTTCTTTGATTTAAAATAAGTGTCCATTTTCTATTACAGTACAATGACAATGGACGCACTATACCACGAGACACATTTAACTTTGAAACAAAGAAGAATGTTTTAACAAAGGCTTCATGGCAGTTGAGACTGCGTACGTACTGTACGTACGTACGCACAATACGTACTTTTCTGTTATGTATGTTCTTGATGAAACTCTAAAATATCTGATATGAAACTATATACGTATAATATTTTAATATTAAACCACGCCTCTGATGAACTGCGTGCGCCTTTTTCAAATAAATATGCAGGGTACAAAAAACTCACATGCGCCCAACATTTTTATACCAATAATACTAATTTTGTTAATATTGCTAATCACTACCTGACCACTTGACCACTTGACCACTTCAAACATTCGCACAACATAACGATAATTTTTTGTGTTAATAGTGATAACTCCTAAAATTGTTAGTTTTGCTTCTGTGTCACTATTCAATTTTACGCACTATATGTGCCTCCACTTTATCGTCGTGCGTAAATATGTCGCGATTCAAGCCAAATTGCCTTTGAATGTTTGATAAAAGAATGTTTAGCTTTGATCATATTGACTCACAAAACTTATTTTTTGGGTGGATTCCCTCGTACTTACCTAATCGAGAAAGCAGATGCTTGTTATCAATCTCATTGGTAATTTATACTATTTAAGCGTCTTGGTCATGTGACGATGAACGGGCATATTGAACCAATAAATTAATTACCATGTCAATAATATACAGTAATAAACTTTATAACAATGCAATTGATGCATCACACAATTACCAAGGAAATAAAAGTGGGAGATGAATGCATGCGTACAATGTTGCATTTCTGTATATTGAGACCAATGCTTTAAGTAGCGATAAAAAAGGTTATATTTGTTATATAATTTATTTTATTTTAATAGGTATTTTGTAAAATTCAAACTAATGCTAGTTAAGCGC